AATTGATGCAGTCCGTAGGCTATTTGGTCGAGTGAGTGTTTGCTCGAACTCAAAATGAAAATTAGCCCGGAGGCTTGATCGAGTGAATGATTCGAACTCGAATTAATGCAGCCCATAGGCTTAATTGGCCGAGTGAGTGTTTGCTCGAACTCAAAATGAGAAAATAGCCCGTAGGTTTAATGGTCGCATTATATCTTAATTCTTCGCATGTTATTACACGTCTGGGTTCAGGCCAATTTATACGAGCATGGCTCGTNGTTCGGACTTCTGCAGGGGTCAGTTTTGAGATATAAACGAATATGGAAAGGTTGTACCTTAACATTAGTACTGTTTTAGATGTGATACATTCCAGTTGCTTGATAACTGTTTGCCGTTTATAACGCCGATCCTGTACGACCCCTTTCCGATGTCCTCGAGTACCTGATATGGTCCTTCCCAATTCGGTCCTAGCTTCCCTTCATTCGGATTCCGGGTATTGATGGTAATTTTTCTCAACACTAAGTCCCCAGGCTTGAAATGGCGGAGCTTGGTTCTTCGATTATAATACCTTTCGATTCGCTGCTTTTGGGCGGCCATTCGGACGAGGGCAGTTTCTCGCCTTTCGTCCGATAGTTCGAGGCTTGTGTTCATAGCCTCATTATTTGATTCTTCCGTCGAGAATTGAAATCTAGCACTGGGTTCACCAACCTCGACTGGTATCAATGCTTCAGATCCATATACTAAGGAGAACGGAGTCGCCCCCGTACTGGATTTTGATGTTGTCCGATATGCCCAAAGAACTTCAGGTAGGATTTCTCTCCATCTCCCTTTAGCATCATTCAATCTCTTCTTTAAGTTTTGAATGACAGTTTTATTTGTTGATTCGGCCTGCCCGTTCCTNTCGATCGGACGATCTCGATATGAATCGGCTTAGGGCGGCGATCCGACCCGTTAGTCTTTGCACGACCTTCACACTGTCTATGACGGTGATGTCTTCGACAGCCCTGATTTTATCGGGGTTAATCTCTATTTCCCGATGTGATACCATGAAGCCGAGGAACTTGCCCGAACCGACCCCGAAGGCACATTTTTCGGGGTTGAGCTTCATTTTGTATTCCCTCAGAATTTCGAACGTTTCCTGCAAATGAATTAAATGGTCCTCTGCGCGCAGGAATTTGACTAACATGTCATCAATATAAACCTCCATTGATTTTCCTATTTGTTCTTCGAATATTTTATTCACTAGGCGTTGGTAAGTGGCCTCTGCGTTTTTTAGCCTGAAGGGCATCACATTATAACAATACGTTCCATATTTGGTGACAAATGAGGTTTTTTCCTGGTCCTCCGGATTCATCTGTATTTGATTATACCCGGAATAGGCATCGAGAAAGTGAGGATCTCGTGGCCGGCCATGGCATCGATCATGCGATCGATGTTGGGCAACGGAAAAGAATCTTTGGGGCATGCTTTGTTCAAATCCTTATAGTCCACGCACATTCTAAGTTTGTCCCCTTTTTTAGGGACTACAACTACGGTTGCTAACCATTCGGGATATTTTACCTCCCGAATGGACCCTATTTTGAGAAGTTTGGTTACCTCGTCCTTTATGAAGGCGTTCTTTCTATCGGACTAGGGTCTTCTTTTTTGCTTCACCGGTCTGAACTTATGGTCCAAACTTAGCTGATGCATCGTTATGTCCGGCGGGATCCCTATTATATCTAAATGGGACCAGGCAAAATAATCGACGTTATTGATAAGAAATTGAACGAGTTTCTTCCTGAGTTCAGGGCACAACCCCGTTCCCAAGTATACCTTTTGCTCGGGCCGGCGCTCAATTAATATGACTTGCTCTAGCTCCTCGATCGTCGATTTTGTGGCATCGTAGTCATGAGGAATTAAGAAAGATCGAGGGACCCTTTGGTCCCCCTCCTCTTCGACTTTTTGGTCCGATGGCCGACACGAGAGCGGATGCGCCAACGCTGAAGTTATATTCTAATAATCGAGGTGCTTCTATAGGCTTGGCATATTTGTCGAAGCCGATCTTACTCATAAGCCTCCGAGAATTTTGTCCCCGATCAATTCTTTGACTGTTCCGAACTGCGATGCGTGTTGAACCGTTATTTACTTGATCGGTGACGTACGGTCGATATCGGTCTCTGTTTGACCTTTGCTCTTTGTCTATCTGCTTTTGATTGATAACTGCCCTGTTCTGATGAACAGGTCCGTACGGGGTCCCTGACTGATCATCCTCGACCCTAATTTTCGATTGATATCGGTTGTGCACATCTGCCCAAGTTACCGCCGGATACTCGATCAAATTTTGCTTCAGCCGATGTGATGCTGTCGAACTTAGCTCGTTCAACCCTTGGGTGAAAGCTTGTACGGCCCAGTCGTCGGTGACCGGGGGTAATTCCATGCGTTCCATTTGAAATCGGGATACGAATTCCCTCAGCATCTCTCCCTGCCTTTGCTTTACTTTGAAGAGGTCTGATTTTCTCGTTGCAACNTTTTTTTGAATCAAGCCCTTTTACCATTGGTGGAGCCCCCGGGATTTGATCGACCCTGGCATTATACGTTTCCACCCTCTTGTCGTTGGCTTCGACTCGTTTTGTGAGTTCCTCGAGCAATTTAGTAATTCTGGGAGTAGTCCCCGATTCCTGCTCGTTAGATTTTACTATGGCAGGCTCTGTTCTGGGGGTGACCTCTCGAAGTAACCCTTGCCGGACCTCTCGAAATGGATTGGAAATCGGCCTGCTTTGTGCTTGAGTTTGGCTCTGTAGCCGAGCTATCGCTAATTACTAGGCTTGCAACATCTCGAAGATCATGCGTAAGCTGGCCCCGATCTCCTCTGGGTTTTGGGTGTCTTGGGCTACGGATCGAGCACCGCCCCGAATGCTTCTTTCTGGTTCGGAACGCTGGTTTACTTCCAAAGCAATTTGTGAATTGACATCTAGTGGTATTTCGGCTCGATTCTCGGGTAGTGCCAAGTTGTTGGTTTCATCTTGAAGGCCAGCTTCGTAATCGGTCGGTGAAGCCATTCAGTCGGTGGCTATTCGTAGCCGAACCTGAATTGAAGGTGTTTTCGGAAATAAGTGACCACTGTTATCCTCGGCCCCACAGTGGACGCCAAACTGTTTACCCAAAAAATGGATAGAGTTGAATTTATACGCAGTTCCGAAGATATGTGGTATAACTTAATACAGAATGCTAGGATAAATAAAAGGATGAATATAGATTGGAGAAAACGTAATCTAGGCGAATCAATTATGAACAGTGAATTTAGGATTTTACAAAATAGAATCAATCTTAGAAACTCGAAAGATCACTCTTTGCTTATAGAGGAAATAATATAGTTTATGATAGTCTAAGTCTCCAAAAAAGATGCCCTACAAGAATGATAAACAAGCCCTTTTATAGTGAAGGGGTTAGGCTACAAGTATAATAAAATAAACATTCAGTGGGAGACCCATGATAAATCAGCTTTTCCATAATTTCTGTCAAGATTCCCTCTAGTGGGATTACAACGGCTTTTGTCTGTGAGCTCGATCTTGCTTAGAATCCTCGATTTTGGTTCGAGCTTGATTTCTGCTCGAACTCGTGATCTTGGTTCGAGCCCGATCCTGGTTCGAGCCCTCGGATGGATTCCAGGTCGATGTAGGTTGGTTTTTGGATTATCAGCACGATAGATCTACCCGCGCCGTGGTTCGATTCTTGTTTGAGTTTGATTATGATATCGATCTCAACACGGACCGGCCTCCCCGGGCTCTAGGTTAGTTCGTGTCCCCCCTTCGGGATCTTACTTCGATATACCACCCTTCGAACCGTACCGGACATGCCAAGACTGAAATCCATTTCGACCGCATACAAAACGTTATATTATTATTCTTATGTACTTGATATTATATTTTATACCATCATTGTATAAAATACTATGTACTAGGTTTAATACTTCATACCATGATTATTTTTGTTTATACGTGTAACCAAATTGCCCTTAACTTTTCTATTATTGTTGTTTATTTATGCACATGTCCTATTTGCAGCTGCTAACCGGGAACCTCTAGCCGTCCAAAGGGAGGGCCACCTCCCACCTCTCACCTCTCACCTAACTTTTGGACAACCGAAACCCCCTTCCACGTATTGTTACCTAATGTCATCATCATTGAATAGCATTCGATCAAAATATTTTTTTTGTGTTTGATATTTATATTGAAATTCGATTATGTGCAAATTTACGGCAAAGTAAATACTTTTAAAAAAATAATAATTTCATATTCATAACTCAAATTTAACATTATTAATTAAGAAAAAAAAAATAATGTTTATCTGTGGTGGTCAAAATTCTTTTGACTTTTAGTCAGCTTTCAGCATTAGATTAATCGACTCATACGGCCACTTGCACACCTCTAATAGGGAAAAAAAAGAGGTAGAAAAGGGGTGTGATAGTCACTTTTTAATATAGTATTTAATTTTTATTCAATATTTTTAATTTTGAGCAAAAATCGTTACTACTTTATTAAAATTAATACGAAAGTATATTTTTATTATTTTTTCATGAGTGTTGTGTAAATATTAAGGACATGATATCCTTAACATTTATACTGCACATATAAAGTTAAGGACAAGATGTCCTAAAGTTTAACAACGGAAGGTGCAAATACATGACACTTTGTCCTTAATATTTACACAACATTCATGAAGTTAAGGACAACATGTCCTTAATATTTAGACATCACACATGTCTAACACATGGGTATTTTCATCCGGACGGATAAAAATTTATTAAGTACTAGCTAAAGAATAAATATATTTTAAATAATGGCTAATGAGTAAAAAAATTTCTAATTAGTGACTAATTTCCCCGAAAAAAATATAATCCAATGCAATATTACGAATTTACGCAAGTTCCGAAAAAGACTATTTTGGAGAGGTGTAATATATTCAGGTTATCTTATTACAAGCATTGACTGATTCCATGTCTCCTACCAACAAAAATATATAGTATAAGAAAAGGGAAGTGCTATATTTAAAGTAACCTGTCATTCTTATCTCTCTAATCTCTTTTTTGTGCTCAAAATCGATTCTTTATTTCTTGTAACTTCGTAATCTATTAACATGTGGAGATGCTACTGAGATTTCGAGACATAAAATTCTATATTCCTACTTTGCCTTGGGCGTAGATTGCGGTGGTCTAAAAAGGTACTCCATCTTCAAAACCTACTAACTTTTATTCATATTCCATTCCAATAACAGTAAATCCCTTCTAAAACCCCTTCATTCCTCACCCAAAAAAAAATGAAAAACATTCAAGTACCAAGCAAAATCCCATCTTGCCATAGCATCAAAAATCTTATTCTAGTCTCTTGTTTTATTTGCATAATCTATTTTCTATATCCCATAATTCTTGCCCCAAATTATACTAATTCTCTTCATACCTCAGTTTCATCACAAGAACATGATTTATCATCACCAACCACACTTCAACATGTTGTTTTTGGTATTGCCTCAAATGAGAAATCATGGTCTAAGAGAAAAGAACTTGTTAAACTATGGTACAAATCAAATGAAATGAAGGGTTGTGTGTTTCTTGAAAAAATGCCTAATAGTAGTACAAATGATTCTCTTTTGCTCCCTCCAATTTGCATTTCTGAGGATATTTCAAGATTCCCATATACAAATAAAGGTGGGAATCCTTCGGCTATTAGAGTGGCACGTGTGGTCTCAGAGACAGTAGCACTTAACCATTCAAATGTTAGGTGGTTTGTTTTTGGAGATGATGACACAATTTTTTTCCCAGAAAATTTGGTGAAAACATTATCTAAATATGACCATGGACTTTGGTATTATATTGGGTCAAATTCAGAAAGTTTTATACAGAACAAGTTTTTCTCCTTTGAAATGGCTTTTGGTGGTGCTGGTTTTGCTATAAGTTATCCGCTGGCAAAAGTTTTGGCTAAAGTATTTGATTCATGTATAGAGAGATATCCACACCTTTATGGAAGTGATGGTAGAATTCATGCTTGTTTGACAGAGCTTGGTGTTACTTTAACACATGAGCCCGGTTTCCATCAGGTAAATCTTCTCCTTTTTTTTTTTGCTATTCTAAATTGGAAAAAATAGATCTGGTAGCCGTCTCGCATACAAATAGGTCCTTGTGGTCCGATCCTTCCCGACATCCGATCCTTCCCGACATCGCGCATGGCAGGAGCTTAGTGGGCACCGGACTCCCTATTTGTAAATTGAAAAAAAGTCAAATTTACCCTTTACTATATACTATACGAAATATCTTAATTTCCCTAGTTGCATAATGGAACTATCCATATCTTGCTGTTAGCTAATCGTGCGTATTTGCCCGTGATTTTGGTGAAGTCACAATACTTCAAGCGGCTAAATTTACCACTCTACTTTTGGTTATGGTTTTAAAAAATTTCTCCTATTATATTTCGATTAGGAGCTTAGTTAAGGTAAAGGACAAATACAAGACAATTTGCTAACAACAAGAATATGAATGACTCAAAAGTACAATAGAGGTAAAATTAAGATGCTTGGTATAGTGGAGAGTATTTTTGACTTTACTACATTGTAAATTTAGAATTTTGGTAGATGGAAGGTGAAGTTGACACCAATTTTCTTGTTCTGTTTGTGTGAAATTGAATGACTAGATGGATTTTCATGGAAATGTGTTTGGATTATTGGCTGCACATTCCATTAGACCTTTGGTATCTCTGCATCATATGGAGATAATTGATCCCATATTCCCTAATATGACAAGAATGAAGGCACTGGAGCATTTGTACCAGGCTGCAAGTTTCGATCCTCAACGAATTTTGCAGCAAACAGTATGTTATGATCGTCGATTTTCTTGGACAGTGTCAGTGTCTTGGGGATATGCTGTTCAAGTTTTTGCACATAATGTGTTTTTGCCGGATGCTCAGCGTGTACAAGAGAGTTACTTTCCCTGGAAAAAGAATGCTTATGGTACACTATATGAATATAATACAAGGAAATTTGAGTCTGATCCATGTAAAAAGCAGATTGTTTATTTCTTGGACAATGTATCTTCAAGCATGGATGAAATCAAGACCATTTACAAGAAGAAAACTACCTCCGAGAATTGCACATTCGGCAAGAATTCACCTCGAAAACTAGAAGAAATCAGAGTTTTTTCGCACAAGTTGGACCTTGACACAAATCAGGTATATTTTTCTCTAGCTTTTGAATTCAATTCAGGCCGATTCTTAGCCTATAATCAGTGGTGGAGCCAGAAATTCTAACAAGTGAATTAAAAATATACAAGAATATTGCACATGTAATTCAAATTTGCAATCTAGAGCAATTCTTGAGCCTGCTTTATCACTGAACTAGAAGCTTCCCTTACGTCAAGTGGATTCAACAATTCACACACACACACACATAACTTTTTTTGTTTTTACCTTATTTGTGTATGAGAATTTTTCGATAAAGTGGATTCAGTTGAACCCCTTGTACATGTAACTCCGCCCCTTTCCTATAATTAGGACTCTTCTATGTTTAAATTATTTTAACATTTTGTTCAATGATACATGCAGTTGCTAGCACCAAGAAGACATTGTTGTGATGTATTGCCTTCTACATCTGGTAAAGTGATGGAAATAGGAATAAGAGAATGCAAAGAAGATGAACTTATTTACATGCACAAGTAGTGCTCTATCTTCCTCTACATTCAGCATTGCAGAAGGAATTCCGCTCACCGCGAAATTTGTATCTGAAAGAACCACTTAGTTGTGATTTTTTTCAATGGCAAATCGGTGACTGAAAGAAAGTTTGGAGCACAAGAAAGTTTTATACCGATCCAGCAACATGCCTCTGTATTTTTTGAAGGCTAATTTGCTTTTTGAGCGGAGAAGTTCAATTTCATTGCTTGTGACTAAATTTAGCTGCAGAAGATACAGAGGGAGTTCAGAGTTAGTTCAATGGGGAAGTCTTCGTTTTCAGAATTGCTATTGTACATGTGTTTGCTATGTTTAGATATATACTTAAAAGAATCTCAAATTTGACTGGAACTTGTTCAAGATTTTCTTAGTGTGTGTATAATCATGATTACATAAAGAGAGTGAAACATTATTATGGCATAGCCAAGTAAGGCTTATGATTAATTTTTTGAGCTCTGACTCTGTGCCAACAATTATACAAAGTCTGCAACCTGGATTTGTGCATGTGTTAAACGTAATAAGAATTTCGAATAGATTTTACAATATCAGAAACTTCTTGCTTTACTTCAAGACCGGTTGTGAGTGCAGGGTTGGTTTTATCATTCCGAATAGAAAATGAAAGTAATTGATAGTGAAAGATCAGATCCGCTACACTATTCAAGAATCTTCGAATCTATGCTTATTTTCAGCTCCATGATTTCGTTTATTGCTATGACTTTAAAAGGGCTAATACGGGCTTAGCTTGTCTTTTATCTTATCGTTTTGTCCTAGGGAGGAGGGAATTCCAGAAATAAGGGTAGAAACATATTCAAGGAATGTAAAGCTAACTCTAAAAATTGAATATTACTTCACCTCAAAGATTTTTTATTAAGAAGTAAAATATTACAGTAGGATTTTTGGGTGATTGAGTTTTTAGAGTACCTTTTATTCATTATCTGGAAAAATAGCCACAGTTTCAAAAGTAATCGAAATTTAGCCACTTTTCATGTAAAGATAAATCTGAACGAAAATACTATTCAAAATTTGGAAAATATTCCAACATAATATATTGGTCCAGCATAATATGCTGGAAGTTTATACACAGGTGATCCAATCCCCAGTATATTATGCTTGAACTTTCCATGTTGGAGTTTCAGCATAATATGCTGGAAGTTCATACACAGGTGCACCAATCTCCAGTGTATTATGCTGGAACTTTTCGTGTTGCAGCAAAGTAGTAGCTATTTTTCAATGACTTTACAAACGCTGGCTATTTTTCAATTACCAGCTCGAAAACTGGCTAGGCCGTGCTATTTTCACTGCACTTAATGATCTCAAAATGGTTTTGCAAATTATGTGGGCCTATTGGGCCGAGAAAACGAACTGATCTTCTTAGCATGGGCTACTCGTTTCTACTCACAATGGACAGAATTGGGCTTGGACCGTGCTCGTCGCACTTATCAACTTCGTTACTTTCGTGTACTCATCAAACGTCAGTCCTTTCGGAGGTTCCTTAGGGACCGATCACTTGCGTAGATTGTGTGAATTATTATGTACTCAAATAAAAAAAATGAATTTGGATTAAATTTGATTGATCGAATACAAGGTGCTCATTATTGGTGTGTTTGGTTTTAAGAAAAAAAATATTTTCTAAAGAAACAAGTCATTTTCTGACGACCAAATATCAAAAAGTATTTTTCTTGTCTTATTTAAAAAGTGGAAGGATGACTTCGCTCGCTTAGCTTCTGTTTTTTTCCCGTTAGTCCATTGGACATAGTTTCTAAAGTTTAAAGAATATCGGATAGTGAAAAAATGTTTCTTCTAGAACATGTTTTCCGAAAAAGATATTTTTCATACCAAACACACCTATAAGCACACATGATTTTTGTTCCACGTGATTTTTTAGTATTTTCACTCTTTATTTTTTGTTCCACATGATTTTTTATGGAGTACTAGTACTAGTTAAACAACTTATTTGAAAACTTTCTTTTAAGAGTCTTTTCTGCACTAAAAATTAATTTCGGCCAAGTGTAATTCAAACCATCTGTTTCCGTGTAATAAAACATATTACTGTATAGTTTACTTAGAAGCCGCCTATAAAAAGATGAGGAAGGACAACTTCAAAATGAGATAATAAAGAGAATATTAGATCATAAGCACCAAAACTATTCTAGAAGCCATCAATGTCAAAGTGGACCATTTTATTATATTCAACGTTTTACGCTCAAAGAAATTCAAACTCCATAGCGCACTAAGTCTTAGCGCACAGTTATTGGTCATCCCATCCGTTAAATATTCACGGCAAATGATGCAATATATAACTTAGGTAATGTGACCTTAGGTAATTCTTAACCATATACTCTCCTTTTCAATTTAGACAAGTTAGTTTAATTCGCCACGGAGTTTAAGAAAAGAAAAAAAAACTTTTGAAACTTATGGTCTTAACAGTTTAAGAGGTAAAAGTTTTGTGAGCCATGATATTTGTGTGGTTACAAAAGATTCTTATTAAGGGTAAAATAGGTAAAATGAAGAGTTTAAAGTTGAATTATTTCTAAATTTAAAAATTTGTAATTTATTTTGGAATATACTAAAAAGGAAAGTACCTCGTCTAATTTGAAACGGTACTGAGTATAACTTATGATGCAATCAAAACGGGAGTTACTTTATGAATAGTTAACTATATTGTGAAAGAGCACTTAGGGGAATCTTTAGAGATAGATATAGTTAAATTTAAGCCATTGAGTGCAAAATACTATCATGCGCACTATTTCTCCGTGATAGTGAATGTAAACTCAATATAAATGTAAATCTTTCTAAAACAAATTTAGCTATAGTGTATAAATGTGTATATAGTTCGAGTTAAAACCAGGGGTTGTCTTGATTTTTTCCCCATAAATGGTTATCCTATTCAGTGGCAGATTTACGCTTTGAGGTATGGGTGCCGGGCACCCATTGGCTTTGGCCAAATACATGGATAATACTTAAAAATTTAAATAATTGACCATGAGCACCCGATCATGTTTGACCACCGTAAATTTATGCTAAAATCAACAAAACACCCACGACTTATAAATCCTGGATCCGTCATTGATCCTAATTCTTGAAGGAGGGGCATCATATTTACCATAATTGATTTTTCCTTTTACGAAAAGGAAAATATAATTCTTCTTTTCTTGGAGAAAAATGTTTCAGACTTTTATAAATTGAGGATCTTTCCTTTTCATTCAACAATATCCACAATGTAGCCATATTTGAGAGTCTTGTTTAGGGGGAGAATATCGGGACAAGTGTTAGTCTGTCACTTGTATTTGACTCTTTGTGAGGTTGTTCTCTCGATATTTTATACTATCTTTTATATAGTGAATTGTTAATCTCCGCTTGTGGACGTAAGTTAATTGATTGAACCACATTAAATGTTTGTCAACTAGATGTACCTAGATATACCCTCTTTGAGAATACATAGTCATGCAAATTTTATATTTAATGATTTTTTCTAACTGCATACTGTTCAAAACTCCGCTTAGAAGAAAAGCAGGCCAAAGAGGAAATAGTCAACCTCTCCCGCCCAAAACAAATAAACATACAACAGATGTAAAAAGTGAAAAAGCAAGAAAAAGTCAGCCAATGAATGGCCCATTTTCCCTAGTTGCAAATTGCAAGCTAGCTAGTATATAAAATGGTGTACTATATGAAGTTTTATACCATCTCATATTCCCTAAAAAAATGGCTTCCTCAAAAATAATCTCTTCTCTATTCTTCCTATTACATATTGCAATTCTTGCACAAACAGTGATTTCCACAGATCCACTCTTCCATTTTTGTTCAAAATCTGGAAACTTCACAGCCAACAGTTACTATGCAAAAAACTTGAAAAATCTCTTAGGTGATCTTTACTTAAAAACACCCCCAACAGGGTTCTCAACTAGCTCAATCGGGCAAACTCCCGATCAAACTTATGGACTTTCTCTATGTCGCGGCGATGTTTCAAGCACTAATTGTAAGTCCTGTGTAGTAGATGCAAGTGAAGAACTTGGTAAACGTTGTCCTTACGATAAAGAAGCGATCATATGGTACGATAATTGCCTTCTTAAATATTCGTACAATGATTTTCTAGGAAAAATTGATAATACGTACAAGTTTTACATGTGGAATGTTCGTGTTGTGAATAAGCCAGAATCTTTTAATGCAAAGACTAAAGAATTGTTGGGAAGTTTAGTTGAAACGGCTTATAAAAAGCAGAATTTATATGCAAGTGGAGATATGGAGCTAATTGGAGATCAGTATGAGAAATTGTATGGATTGGTTCAATGCACAAGGGATCTTTCTAGTGAAGACTGTAAAAAATGTCTCGAGGGTATTATTACTGAAATTCCAAGTTGTTGTGATGGAAAAGAAGGTGGAAGAGTTGTCGGGGGAAGTTGTAACTTTAGATATGAAATCTATCCTTTTGTTAATACTAATTAAGTAAAAGATGTAACAATATATAAATTAAGATATGGTCACAAATTGATATTGTAATATGCTACATATGAAGGATCCAGTTAATACATATATTCTTATAGTTTTAAATATATAAATTTTATTTTAATAAATTTAAACATTTTATGTTCAAATTTACACCATAAATAAAATAATTTGACTTATGTACTTTCAATCGTTTCGCATAAGGTAGGACGGCGGGAATAACATTTATATTACTCCTACAACTTATTATAATGACAGAACTTCAGCCGGCATCACACTGAGTCTCTGCGAACATTTATCGGTCAACTAATCCATTAAATTCTAAAGGCAAATGATCTCTCTCTAGTTTTAATTTTGATTCTTTTATCTGATCCAATTCTTAACAACTTATAAGTTAAAACTTACTGTATGATGTAATCAAAATGGGAATTACTTTACGAATAATTGATGATAATGCGAAGAGCACTTGGGAGAAATTAATAGTTAGTCTTAGAGAAATTATAATATTAACTATCTCTTTGCGACAATGAATGCAGATTTATTATAATGTATATCTTTCTCAAAATTTTCAATTGTATGTGTATATATTCTTTTGAATTAAATACGGTTGATAATGCACCTGCACTTGCTGTTGACAAACCATATCCGCTTGCTGTAGACAAATCAGTGAGAATATCATATGGACAGAATTTTCTTCGTTATATTTATCCATGCAATAAGATGACTTGCTTGAAGTATTACTCTAAAATTTATGTGGAGTGTGATATCTTTACAGCCAAATTTAACCTCAAAAGTTGACTAATTACCGAAAAGCTATAAGAAGACAAATTATCCAAATCCAATTAATAGCA